GACAGGGTCGCACGTGCAACACCGAAATCTTCGACCAGAAACGTTGTGAATCAAAAGATGCTGCGCACGTGCCTCCTCGGTCAAAGGTCAAAAGCAACTGATACACTTAGCAATAGTCATTGGACCTCCCAAACTATAAAACAACATTAATTTACATAATCATAATTGTTGCATTATTTTAAAAGAAATTTCTGGGTATCCAAGATAAGGATGATGATTAGGAGAGTCTGTGTTGGTAAAGACTCTTTAAAAGCTAATTAACAATTTCGTAAATGAAAAGAACTCTTTAAGGTTTGTTCATACTATTACCATCTTTTCACACCTTAATTTACTTTTATGTTTGTGTAATATGAACTCGATATATGATAAAAGTTTTTAAGGGTTAACCAAATGAGCGTTTTTTAAAAAGAAAAATTAGCCAAATGAGCGTTACAATGCTTTTCCTTGTAAATTAGTACAATGTTTTTTGCTGTGGTTTGTTTTTTTCCTTTACAAAATGCACATATTTATTTATTACATAATTCGAATGGTGGTTTTTGTAAGATATAGTATCTATTTTCTTACCTAAGAAACTGAACTACAAATCTCCATTTGGTTTAGTGATGGATTTTACAGTTGGCTGTTGTATCAAGCTTATAGCTATAATGGTATACATTCTTCTATTGAGGAACAAGTAATACAGAAAAATAAACAATTATATGTTTTTTATTACCACCATCTACTCCATTGCCATTCAATTGTATACAATTATAACTTTCCAAGTGATGATTCATTGTTTACGAGATAGGCGTTTACTATAATGGTATATTATAGATATATAATTTGTTTCGCAATGTATAAAATCATGATGGATGATCTTACTTTAACACATTAGAGCTTAAGTATGAAAATATAAATCGACAATAAGCAATAATTGTTTAATGTATATATTTATGGGTAATTGCAAAAATACTTTTTCCCAAATTATTATGATCAACGGGTAATATAAGATCATATACTAATCAAAACCATCAGCAACAGTCACCTAGCATTATATGTTGGAGTTTTTTAAAAAACATTTAACTAAAATAACACAAATTAAGAATGGAATGCTTTTGATATTATCACTTACATAATACAGAGAATATATTTGGTCATTTTCAACGAACACTGAATATACTACTGTCTATTGGAGGATAGAAAATTGTTGATATGATCATTATATGTGGTAATATCATTGTTATCCAACTACTTACGTGTAACAGAATATATTATTATGAATGAAAAGGAGAAAGAGGAAGATAATGTGGAAGCATGTGTTTATCCTCTCAAGTTGCTACATTCAGCCACGTATGATGATGTGGCAGTTCCAAAGAAAAATGATTTGCCAAGAATTACTATATACATATATGTTCGGTTTTCCAATAAGATTAATATACGTATGTATGTGTGTGTATAAATGCATATTATATAAACGACCTTCGAGCTTTTATCGTCAATAATGGTTAACATTCGATACAAAAGGGAGACCATCCCCACGTGTGAATCTCACATGCAATTAAGAGGTTTTAAAGGAAAGTCTTCCAGAGAGTCAGAGAGACAAATAATTAGAGGAAAAAATGAGTTAAAAAATCGAAAAATATACTTTGAGTTGAGTATAAGGACAACAATAAGCGAGGATAAATGTTTAGGGTATTTTAAAGTATGTAACCGATTGTATCACCAATACCTTTTAATGACTATAATGCCACGTCACTCTGGCCAAAACCCTAACGAGAGACCACGTCCTCTTTGCAACTTTTAAAACAAAAACACCCATGAGGATATCGCACAAATTTAACGTATTCTTTTCATTAGTATTTCTTTTTGTAGAACCTGGCTTCTACGTTTCAGTATGAACGACAATCTCTGAATACGGTTTATGTTATTATATTTTTACACAATATACTTGTTAAAAATTCGTGATTGACCATCCACTTTTTGTCAAATGATCACTGAGAAACATGATTTTTACTATTTTTCTAAAAAAGGTTTAGCAGTAAAAAATGTATCATCATTTCAGCATTATAAATTTTTTTTTAAAAAAAAATCATTTCAGCATTATGTGACTACAGGGTTATACGAAAAAAAATCCTCAAGCGAAAAGAAATATATAAATGTGAAAACCGAAGAAAAAATTATTGTATGATTTTCTCCAATTTTTAGCAGCAAATACGCAAGAAAACTAACTTTTCAACGGAAGAAATATGATATCATCAGATATAATGGTTTTACTGGTTAATTAACTTTAAAAAACTTTATCATACATTTACTTCGTATAAACAAGTGTTTTGATAGTTT